GGAATGGGAACAACGTTAGCCTGCTTCATAGTTTAACACATTCGACCTTACTGAGCTGCACGTTGACCAACACTGTATCAGATCACCATCAGCAGGTCTGCTGTTTGTCTTCCAGCAATGTGACCCAGAGAAGCTGATCACTGAGAGCAAGTTCCTGAAGCTGGAGTCTCTACAGGAGCTCATGAAGGTTATTGTTGTTCAGCTCATACTTTTAACAGTGTTAGCTTAGTGTTTCACCTCATGGTTCAACATGACACAATAAATGACCTGGATTCTCCTGTCAGGCTCTGATATCAGTCACCCCGGATGAAGAGACCTACGATGAAGAGGACGCTGCCTTCTGCCTGGAGATGCTGCTGCGCATTGTTCTTGAGAACCGGTGGGAACGACTCTTGTGACTTCGTGTGTGTTGTCAGTGAGCGCACTAACGAGCTGTTTCTCTGCGTTTCAGAGACCGTGTGTCCTGTGTGTGGCAGACGGTGCGCGACCACCTCTGCCAGCTCTGCGTTCACGCTACTGAGAGCTGCTTCCTGGTGGAGCGAGCTGTGGTGGGACTCCTTCGACTCGCTATCCGCCTGCTACGACGAGAAGACATCAGCTCGCAGGTATACAAAGATGCTTCCTGACCCGGCACACAGATGTGGTCTCGCAGACTCGGATCACCATCAAGTCAGCAGACAGTTTTAGGGCAGCTTAAACCAGGTAGCCGGATGCTGTTGGTCCAAAGCCACCTGTGCTGGTGGTCTCTTTGACCAGCACGATGACTCTCTGATGCGTCCGTCAGAGTATGAACATGAGTGTCAGAAGCACTGAGAAGCATAGAAGAACCTGCTGGTGTGGATGTGACATGTTGGACATGGATACAAAGTAGCATTTTAAAACACCTGTTGTTCTATTTTGACTATTGTTGTTCTTTAAAAAGACAAAGTATTTATCCACCACAATACAATCTTTCGAGTATTTGTTACTCGATGCGTTGAGTCAAACGGCAGATTAGTGAGGATTTCAGCAGGATGCAGGAAGAGTAAATCATTTAGATCCAAGTGCATGTTAGATCTAAAGGTTTGTTTCCTGTTTCTATGGGGAGTCTGCATAATGTTGTTGAGTTTACTATTTCGTTAGAATTCATCAATAAAGTAAGACTGGAAATGTCTGATGTGCTTAAACCAGGGTCGCAACCT